CAATGTCATTTATATATATTATAAATAATAAGGGACCAAGGACTGATCCTTGAGGTACTCCAGCTGTAAGACTGCAAAATGAGGATGATGATTTATTAATAACAACTTTTTGTTTCCTATCACTAAGATAACTCTCAAACCAGTTAAGTAAATTACCATGTATTCCGTAAGCTTTCATTTTATGTAAGAGTCCTCTATGCCATACCTTGTCAAAAGCTCTAGAAAAATCGCAAAAGACAAAACAATTTATTTCCTTCTTTTCTAGTGACTTTAGAATACAATTATACATTTCTAGTAGCTGATGTACAGTTGAGTATTTTGGCAAAAATCCAGACTGATATTCATAAATTAGCTTATTCATATGTAGATGATTATATACATGTTTAAAAACAATTCGTTCCATGATTTTACCTATTTGTTAACAAAAGCGATAAAATTGTTGTTTGCATGTGTCAATGATCTGTTCCGCATGTTACAAATGTAAACGACCAATATTGGAATCAAAGAGAAGTTGAAAAAAAAGATGTAAGTGTAAAGATCAAAAAAGGCAAAACATCCAAATAAAAAGAACACGATCAACAGATCTTGGCTCAGAAAGGTTAAAAGATAATAGACAGTATTTGTAAAGAAAAAAAAACCAATTCTTCAATAAAACCCACTTTATTCAAATGTAATGTTCTTATGTTCACGGTTTGCTTATCTATTTAGATTCATTTACATGTTCAAATTTATAAATTGTATTTCTTAATTGTCTAATATGATATTGTTCTCATATTAACACGTGTCGTTTACATGATTGATCGAAATGTGAACATCACAATATTTTCCTTATTGCCGCTCATCGTATTTTAATGGACGTTTTACAAGGATATATTTATATCTATGTTTCTTAGAATGCATATTTCCCTATAGCAAAACCATCAAATTAAATATGCCTATATATGAACAATACATAAATTACAAATTCTGAAACACAAAAATTAATGACTTCCCTAAATGCACGATCAAAAGAAAAGATAGCGTAAAAAAAACCACGCGAGGAAATATTCATTGAATGCTTGTACAAGTTAAATACTCTTTAAATATCTGTTCTTTATGAATGAAACATTATTTGAGGTCAACAGCAAAAACTTTAACGTTAATGATTGTAACACTCGTGTATAGGCCATTTTGATAAAATTTTATTTTTTCATGTGCAGATTGAATGATTTGTTTGTATTGCATTACACAGGCTTACACACTTACTGACCAAGGACACCAAGCTAAAATCCAGGGTGTAATAATTATCTCTGTAACCACACACATGACATAAATTTTTGGCAAGTTGAAGTTTCTCGCTAAATAAACCACCAAAAGGACACAAATAGAGGTAAATAAAATTTATGTCAATAAATTTGCTTCTGAACGAAATGTTTTGTAATCATAACTTAAGCAAATGTGTTAATATCACGATACAGGTGACTAAATTCAATATAAGTGCATGTGTGAATATAATGATGAACATTCTTGTACATTGAATTTTCGGTTTTAAATGCTTTTAGTGCTCTTAATAAAAAAAATCTCCAAAACTCAGAATGTTTAAGATGATATCTGATTGACGTCCCAATGCTGATATCTACCATTATATACCCATATGGAGTAATTTTCTTTCAGAACGATAGGTCATTCTTTCGAAAAATAAACCCGGACGATACCATGTTTCAATGAAATATGCTCCAAGGCATAAAATAATAATGACCTGTGTGAGGTCATTATTTTCCTTGATAAAAATGCAGACTATAATTTACTTCAAAATTATATTTTTCTGATAGTTTCTGTTGCCGATTTTGGAATTTTTTCTTTTAAGTTCAATCTATGATAGGTGTAAAAAAAAATAGTCATTGCCCGAATTTTAATTTTAGAAACAAATAATGTGAAATTTTGTTAATTTATCGCTACAATACAGAGACATTATCATATATGCGAGATGAATTTTAATGTAAAACTTTCATAACACTTTAAAATAAAGCCAGATTTAACATATTCGTGTGTAATTCACACTGAATAGGTTGATTGATTGATGGTTACTTAACCTCCAGTGGCAAATATTTCATGCATGTTCAGGACGATACACACTGAATAGGAAATCATACTGTGACCTACATGTATTGATATTCTTTTTTGTGTAACATGTACATGTATCACGATTTCGTGCCCCCTTCGTGTCACTTCTTAACTTTTTAACATTTATGTATACCTTTTACTCTATCAAATGATTAACTAATAAAATATTCTTCTATTCTATTGAATAACATTCACGTACCTCACAATGAGGTTGGGTGGGGGGGGGGGGGGGGGGGGAGGGTATATAATTATATCCTGATTATCTGTTAAAAAAATGTATTGCTATTCAAAAGAAAATCATTGTGAATATTTAATTCGATTCAATTACAATTGTTGAAAATAATCACTTTTCCGCAATAAAATGTCATTACAAACAGACAAAACAAAACATAGCACCTCCCCCTTTCCATAAACTAAGTTGGTACAATAAATTACTTACAAAGTGTCTAGTATTTTTCATTACACTGTTATCAGATGGTAACAATTCATTTGTATCTTACTTCATGCAGTTACAGTAATATTTTATTGTGTATGGATAATAATTTCTAAGGTTTATATCTAGATTAATTTGTGAGTTTTATTTCACATTCTAAATGATCCGTAGGGCGTATTAAAACCTGAACGCAATAGAAAGGAATATCCCACTTAAGTGTGATCGGTAAAATAGGATGCTAAATTTTGCAAATCTTTATAAAAACAATATTTGACGGTATATAAGTCAGATAATGCATATTGTAAGGTTTCTCTTGTCGTAGAACACACCTCGGGGTGTCAGGATTGCCCAAAGAAAGACCTCTCTACGGTCGGTCTTTCATTTGATCAATCCTGATACCCCTCAGTGTGTTCTAAGACAAGAAAAACCTAAAAATATGCATTATCTATAACTTAAACAATTATCTTAGATTATATCTCGTAAAGATCTGTGAGAACCTGTCGATGATCTAATATATTACTTTCCTTAATAGGTTTATAATCATCTTACTGAAATGTTCTTTAAAGGTTTCGAAACAACAAGCGAATGTAAGAACGGAGGATATAAGAACGGTCAAACGCATAAAGAACTCCGCATAACCATATACCTATAACTGCGCTTAAGGAACAGTTACACATGAACAGAAAAGCAAGCTCATACATATTCTCGTAAGTGGCAACTCAGTACAAAAATTAAAAAAAAAAAACAGACGATTATTCACATGCTGACGTTGCTCTACATATTTAACAGGAAAATAACCTTTTCAACATTTTGGAAAACAATAATTGAATTAGTCGTATTTATTAATATGTTACCATTCAATAAACATCCATCGTCTATGAACCGCAATATCTTTACACTTAATATTATTTACATACGCTCTATCAGGATTGCAAAGATAAGAAAATGTGTAATTGCTTTTTGTTTATGATAATTATTGTCATCCATTTGTTTGAAATGTGACCTCGATCATTCTTCGTCACGGTATCAATGTTTTGTTCATTATAGTCTAAACATTTTACTTTGTGAAAATTTAACGAAAAAGTAGTTGCCGATTTACAAATTTATGTACATATGGTATCGAGCGTTTTCTTTAAGGGAATGTTTCATCACCAGCCAATTTTTTTTTTAATGTATGTGCTTATTTGTTTGAAGGAACAGCTATTCATGTTTATCAACGGAATTTTCATATGACTTTCCTCTGTCGAATATTAAGGAATTGCCAGTTTTAACCCAATATCTATCCTCGACAATCAATATATCGTGTTTATTAAAACCTATCAGTAAATTGATGTTTGATAATACAACATTCCCTTCGCATATGAATAACTTGTAAAAGACGTTAAAAAATCACAACTTATGTTTCCGACTAAAAAAAATCAAACGTTTTCATTCAATGTTTGCATGGTTTGGATTAATAAATTAACATAGTATCAAAACGATTGAAAAAATGTACACCTTTCTATAATTTATCGATATAAACATATTCCGTTAGTTACTTGTGCATTTACCCAAACACATCATTCTTTGGTTTTGATCGTATGTGTGTAAACATTTCCTTAACAATTCTCTCGTATATCATGCATATGTTTACCTAAGGTTTACCTAAGGGACGAAGAAACAAAATGAAGAAACATTTGTTTTATATCTAAGGAACTATTTTGTGGTACTGTTAATGTGCTTTTTCTATATGATATTTTGTTTTTCTTTGTTGACATAATTTTTTAGAAGATTAACATTATAACACAATGTTGACTGTTGGACCCCAATGTTTGACATTTTTACCTATTATGTCTGTTTGTTTTGCTCACACATTGTTGTCAATATAACGGAATTTTAAGCTACTGTCATACATGTGAGAGGTTTAGCCAGCTATAAACTATATTTAATCAACCATTTTCTACATAAGGAATATGACAGTTGTTTTACATTCGTTTGATGTTTATGAGCTTTTGAGTTTACAATTTAATAAGGGAATTTCCGTTTTGAATTTCCCTTGGAGTTCGGTATTTTTTTATTTTATTTTTTAGATTGCCGTCTCTCTGACGAATACTATTTTTCTCATTTCACTAAAGGTCATCCACTATAATGGTATATTTCGATTAAAACTTTTATTCAGTTGTTTTTTTTTTGTTTTTATTTATTACGGTAGTCGTCATAAGTTTTACTAAATTAAAGAAAAAAACTCTTCAAAGATACCAGCCTATTATTTTGTAAACCAGACGTTCGTTTCGTCTTCAAAAGACTGATCAATGACGCTCGAATCAAATATGGTTTAAAGGCCTAATCAAAAAGGAAGATCAAGAGCAAGTTATGAATGACAGCCTACTATGTGTTTGTATTACATTCATAGACGTTCATTTAAAAGTACTGTAGGTTATCCATATTATAACCTATTGTCTGTGTCATTTGTACTCTTGATTTAACGAGAGGTACTGGTATGTTTTGATTTACATTTTCTCAGTTTAATTATGCAAACTGCAAACGACAAATCTATTCATAAGGAAATCTGGTAAGTTATAAATATATAATATCTATAATCATTTTAACATTAAGCGGATTATGATAATTAAATTCTTACTATGTCATTTTAATACACTCAGGAAATTGACAGTTATTGTCACACATGTTTAGAATGGAATAGTGATCAAATCATGCAGAGCTCGCTTTCATACAAAACATTTTGTTTGATGAACACTGTCCCTGTCCTGTTTTATGTCGATTTAACCGAAAAAATGAGATTAGAATTGCCGAAAAGAAAATCCGTTTATGATTAGAACGGTACACATGAATTCATGCTTACGTTTTAGGGTAATGTAGAATAAACGGTGATGGCGTGGAAAAACATTACAGTAAACACATAAGCAAACAGCCATCCAATTATGGACGGGTGTAAACTTCCAAATAAAACGTGCATGTAATGGTGTTTGGCGTAATAATGTATGATGTATTGTGTAAGGCAAATGAGGAATGTTTTATGGTGTATATATTTCTGTTCGTCTAATAAAAGATGTATTCAAGTTTCCAATTTCTTTAAACATTTCAGCGGATAATTTTGAAAGGTGTCAATCATGTATGATTCACATTTTAGAGGGGAAAGTGAAAAGTAAAACAACAAAAATACCGAACTCCAAGGAAAATTCAAAACGGAAAATCACTTTACAATTGGCAAAATCAAAAGCTCAAACACTTCAAACGAGTGGAAAACAACTGTCCATTTTCTTATGTAAGGGATATAGTATAAGGGCTTGTAAGTTGTATTTAGAATGATATGGTGTAAAGGTGCATGGTGTACTGTGCAAAATGGAAATACCATTTTATGAATTCCGGAAGCGCCTTTCTTCATCAGAAATGCTTAAACCTAAGTAATAGGAGCTATAAAACCAAAATGCAAACTCAGATCAATTTTGCCTGATCTATGGGATATGATGTAATTGCTATTTTTGAAGGTGTATGAGGATAAAGGGAATGGTGCATGGTGTTAGCGGATGTTCATTTCATTCAATGACAATTATCAATGAAGAGGCACATAATGCATATGGCAATCATCCTTATTTGGTTATGGTGTAAAGAAATATCGAAATGTTCAAATTGTGTTGTGTGCTTATGTTCGTGTAGTTCAATCAACAATCGCAGTAACGATGCATCTTTGTCAATATTGATTTAATATCTGATGTCTTGTCCAACTACTTAACCTCTGCTTAATCAAATTAAGTTATCTAGCAAATATGAAGTAGCTTTCTCACTCTGTTATTATCTGCGGTTCGATGATTGATCGAAGGAAATGCGAAAGAGGGGTAAAATCGAAAAGGCTGTGGAAAATTTCGATTTTAAATCGTTACAAAACACGGAACTTTTTTATGTTATTTTGATATTAATGATGTAATGATGCATGGTGTACTGTGTTAATGAAAATAACATTTTTGAAATTCTAGAGGTTCATTTATGGATGTACTTCATCAGAAACGCTTAAACCACAACAGTTGAAAGCCATGAATGTATAAATAAAGAGGAACATTAAGAGCTATATGACCAAAAGTTCAACTAAGATTAATTTTGCCTGACGTATGGTGCAAGATATAATTGATATTTGTAAAGGTGCATGGTGCATACTCTTATAGTGAATGGTGAATTGTGCAAAGAGGAAGTTTATCTCTTTCAAGGACAGTAATCAATGAAGAGGAACATAAAAGATATGACCAATTTTGTAATCATCTTAGTTCGGTTATTGTGCAAAATAAATATCGATGTGTTAATCTTTATTTTAGAAGTATTAATATCAACAGAACAACGTGATATGATTGCTTTCAAATTGTGTTGTGTACTAATTAATGTGTATTTTTATTCAACAACACCACACACTCCTTGTTGTTTATTGATCATGCACATATATAATATAGTGTCATTAACTGGCTGTTTTTTGTATTGGTGCGGTTATATTGCAATTCCCTTGAATATTTTACCTAGTAAATAATTTTCAATGATGTGCATCATTTATGATTCAAATTATAAAGGGGGAAATGAAGGGATAATGTACGGTCTTGCGTAAATGGAAATGACACTTTATCAATTCCGGAAGCGCATTTTTGGATAAACCTTCATCAGAAACGCTTAAACCAAACCATTTGAAAGACTAAGATTATGTTTGCCTGACGTATGGTGTATGAAGTAATTGTTATTTGTAAAGGTGCATGGTGCATACTGCTATAGTGAATGGTGTATTGTGCAAGGAGGAAGTTTATCTCTTTCAAGGACAGTAATCAATGTAGAGGATCAAAAAAACATATGACAAACGTTGCAATCATCCTAGATCGGTTATTGTGCAAATAAATATCGATGTGTTACTCATTATTTTAGAAGTATTAGTCATATTGTTTAGTATCAACAGAACAATGTTATATGATTGCTTTCAAATTTTGTTGTGTACTAATTTACGTAAAGTTTTATTTAACACCACAACATACTGTTGGTTGTTTATTTATCACGCATATGTATATATATATATAATATAGTGTCATTAACTGGCTGTTTTTGTATTGGTCCTATTATAGATTCCAGGTAAGCTGTGTAGGCCCCAGCACACGAAGAATCGAGGGCTAATACAGCTGAGCGAAAATCTTTTAAAGGACCAATACAAACACAGTCAGTTGATGAGACTTTTATTAAATGATTCGATTAAACTGAGAAACTTCTCACAAAATAATACGTCAACATTAAACGACATGTACAGACAACAAAAACAACAACAATAGATCTGTAATTTAAAAATAAAAATAGATAATACTATTAATAGCTTTTCAATGCTCTGTAGATTTCAACAAGATGTTAAAAGATATGTTGACTATCTCTGAATTGATTATTTGCCTCTGCTTAAGATGTCAAGGTAAGTAATGAACATAATTTTAACAGCATCAGTTATTTTATATAATTATTATGTTTATATAAATCTTGGTCAGGGACAAATTACTATCAGCAATCCTCAAAGATTCTGTTATATGATAAATTAGTCTGCGTCTAGTGTAAAAAAAGATACGCAATACGTTGTTACATTTATAACGATTTCATTCGTTTTTCTTGTTTTCTCTTGTAATTCTGATCACTATTTTATTATGTAATAATATAAGAGTATGGGCCAAATGCCTTTGATTTAAATGATAACTAATGCATAGATAGCAGTTGTGAATGAGTATTTTTGACTTTATGTTGCAACAAACTATTGACAAGTTGTAAATTAACAGTGGATATTTGTTGAATTTCAATTTCAGGTTTTCAAAATAAGCTTATCATTTCGACTTATGGTACTATCAAAGAACTTAACTTGCAAAATGGAGAAGAATTGGAACTTCAGACTGACCTTCATAGCTTTATCTATTCTGTAGACTATGATTATAGAAATGGATATATATATTTTTCAAGATATACAAAAAATGATATACAAAGGTATGAAGAGGTTGATGACCATTTTTTAGTTACTTTCAACTATAATCAGACAATATTTTGAATGCCATTGAAACTAATTTTAACCATACTAGCTTTAACAACACAGTACTATGTGGAAGGTTGGCATATTCTATAATGCCATACATGCTCAAAATGTGTCTTAAACAAATTAAGTTGGAAAACTGCAAGTGTTAAACGGTTTTCAAAAGTGGAGATATTCATTACCTACCATAGTTAGACTAGTATCACTCATTATTTGCATAATGTAACATTACGGAATATCATATTACATGTTTAAGGTAAGTACTATTATTGCTTTGATGGTTACACGGCATACCCACTTGAATTCTAGAAGTGAAGCATAACCATTTCTTTTTAAATATTTGCATAGCTTGTGAAGTTAAATTTTTATACAAGAATGCAATTATATATCGTTATAGTTTACACATTTGTTTATAATTTTTGGTTCTTTAAGATTTCGATATCCACCAGGACAAATGGCGGATTTAGTACCTGTTACTTTTGCAAGCAGACCAGTAGGATTGGTGATTGACCCTTTATATAACCATGTGTATTGGACAGAACGATCCACCGGGAAACTTTGTAGATGTAATTTAGATGGGTCACTAAAATCAGTTTTATTGCAGGATGATCCACTCTTTGCTCTCACATTTGATTATCGGAACAGGTTTGTATTAGAAAATTACAAAAACACGTTAAACTGAAATAGATATCAAATAACATATCAACTTCGTTTTTTATATAGATTAGACCGTTGGTTTTCCTGTATGAATATTTTACAATAGTCATTTCGGGGCCCTTTATAGCTTTCTGTTCGGTGTGAGCTTAGGCTCCGTGTTAAAGGCCGTACTTTGACCTATAATTATTTACTTTTTACACATCGTGACTTGGATGGAGAGTTGTCTCATTGGCACTCATACCAAATCTTCTTATTTCTATTTACAATAATAGTGTTACAAAAGAGCATTTTTTTGTATCAATGCAAAATTATCCGTTGTGTTACTCTTTTATCATTTTCCAATTGCAGACAGATAGATATACTGAGTCGCAATATCCCCTTTGATATCAACAAGCATTCTTCGAACCGCCTTTTTCGCGACATATAATGTCCCTATCGTACAATTTCCTATATTTGTATAGCTACTATCTATTCATAATGTTCTTTGTCATATCCGATAATATTGAACGAAACCCTATAATTGAAGAAATTACCTGTCATGTCTAATGTAGGCAGTGTATAGCTTAAGATAACGGTAGTTTCAAATCGAATCAATCGTCTAACAAAACAATTCAAGGTAGCGTAAAAAAACTGAGGGAATCTCATGAATTCCTAAAAGACCGAGACTTTGTGTATCGACAGGAAATACGTCTCTTGCTAGGCATACTCAGCCTGCCATTCGAATCCACACTCAGTCAACATATCTAATCGGGAATCGGTGAGACGATTATAATTGTATTTTAGGATCTAAGACTGTAAAACCTAGAGTCACGACATATTGTGTTACTCAACAAATTGGTGTTGGTGACGGTAAAACCCTTGAAGTATCGAGTCCAGTCGTTCTTCCCTATGTCAGAAATGCTACACATATATTTACTGTTGTACTTCAGGCCATCATCGTTTTATTTATTTAAATTTCAGATGGCTGTATTACAGTACGGATGGTACAGAAAAATCAATTAGGCGATTGAAACTTAACGGTTCTGAAAATCAAACAATCATAAATGTTCAATCAGAACTAGTTACTGGTATGAGCATTGGTATGTTGTCTAAAAATAATAACACCAACAACGGAAATGCGATATGATTTGTCACATAATCATTTTAACCATACATTACAAAATAAGGATGATCCCTTGCAACTTGATAACTAATGTTTTTACGGTTTCTGTAGAAATAGAACTGATTGTACTTTAATATTTCACGCATCCAACTGCCCATGTCCACAAAATATATATTTATTTATACTTTACTATGCTTTTGATAATCAACTATCTTGTAATATTTATACGAATTATGTGTACTTGTCAGGTGTAAGACACACACAAATAAACAACCCCTTGTAAAAAGCAAGATGATTGTCACATTGTTTTGTAATAAACACATTGATACATATGTTTCGATACTTCAAATAAATGCAATCAAATTATGTAAAAGCAGTTAACTTGATTACCGGATAATTGGACTGGTAAAACATTGGACAGGATTTTTTTTAGAAGCATGCGTGTTTGTCAAATAGAATTTTAAGCATATCATCTTTGATGGTTTTTTTTAATACTTGTGTCATTCAAACATGTTCTATCACCATTCACTTTTAAGTTTAAAAATAGATTGTAGAATGTCGTTATCTGAATACAACCACTGTTTGCATTTCCGCAACATCTAAGAAAACCCATGGTTGATTGTTATATTCGTGTTTTCAGTCTTTACTTTTCCAGGTATCGTTTTGTATATTAATGTTCCTGCAGATATGTTTGTAATTTTTTTTTTGCTATGGTGTTGTTGACTTTATATGACTTAAAAAAATATTGTTCCCTTTGGTATCTAACACATATTTTAAAATGATCATCTGAAGACATATTCATTGAATATCAGTGCCTTGGATTACCCGGACAAGGAATTGGAAACACAGTCTGTTTGAATGTATTCATATAAATCAAAGTATACTATGTTGGTACAATAAGATTGTTTTCAAATCGATGTCACATTCATGTAATCGGCCGATTTTTTTTTTCTTCATTAGATAATGATAAAGATCGCCTTTATTGGATGGAATTCAATAATGGGTTCTTGAAATCATCAACATTAAATGGAAGTAGTGTCATAACGGTTTTAAACACAAATACAAACAATAAAAACCAAGATATCCATGTGTACCGAGGCAACGTGTACTGTGCAAATGGTAATTCTTTACTTAATGTGACACCAGGAGTATCAGCGCATGTCATTTACAATAATACAGGAACAATATATAGTGTATTTATTCATGATGAAAACCATGAAATACGTACGTATACTTAATACATTCGATATTCTAATTGTTTTTAAAAGGATTTATGAAAAGTGTTTTTAAGTGATAGATCTAAATTTTGTTAAAAATAGAAATTTAAAACAGGTTTATAATTCTTAATTTTAAATTGATTAACAGTTGAATAAATTAAGATAATTCACTGCATTTAGGAATATCATTAATTTTAGACAAACGACGATGGAGTATCTCATTGAAGTAGATTACGTTATATATTTCTTATTGTAATGATTCATCAATGTGTTTAAGCATTAATTATACAGTTAGCAGTGATTATGTTCATTTGGTTTGATATTCGGCAGGAAATGTATTATTTGACACAATTATGTTTTCACGTTCTTTATTTACTTTTTCTCAATTATGTAAATATGTGTACTTGCTAGCTTAACTGATCGCTGTTTTCATCCATGCAAATTTTTTTTCACTAAGTACTTACAAAGTAACATAACAAAAATACCGAACTCCAGGGAAAATTCAAAACGGAAAGTCCCTTATCAAATTGTGAAATCTAAAGCTTAAACACATCAAAGGAATAGAAAACAATTGTTTTATTCCTGGTTTCATACAGGCATTTCCTTATGCAGAAAATGGTGGATTAAACTTGGTTGTATAGCTAGTTAACCCTCTCAATTGTATGACAATCGTATAGAATGTTGTTATATTTACAAAAATGTGTTGACAACATGTATGAAGAATCTTGGTATGAACATAATTGTTGAAACTCGTACCAATTGTTTATTAAAATGGGCTAGTTACCAGTATCTCTAGAAATTGCATGTCTGACACTATCAAAAGCGTTACGTTATTACGTAACACAATCTTCGTTTTTTATACTACATTTTAAACTAAGCCAGTGTGATGTTCTATAAACAGGTACTGAATCTAACGAGCAACACTCGAATATTTATCACTGTCTGCGCATGAGCAAATGTTCAGTAGAATAATTAATACCGTGTATAAATATGTTATAATACGACAGTCGTACAGGATAAATCGTATTATAAAAACAGCTGATGTACTCCTTGAATTAAGTGTGATACGTTATCATTACTAAAACATGAGCTGCGTCGGATAGAAATCGACCTTATACAAATGAATACCAATACATCTGTTAACCTATTTCGGGTTGAAAAATCTCCTTGCAAAGTCTGTAACTATTTGAAAATTGACTTGTTATAAGACCCCTACAAAACAGATCAAAATTCTTCATTAATTTCGTATTTGAATGTTCAAAAATAAAAAAAAAGGTCACATGTTATTGCTGTATTGTATTCCTTTGCATTAATACTATCGCTTTGCAATTATACGAATTATGCATGCTTAACAATACACTAATTAATAGTACTGTGTTTGTTGTGTGACATTTCTTTGTATAAACAAATTTTAAAAAAAATTATCATTCATGCAAAGTAGTCTTATGATTAATACAGTTTTAATGTTTCATGAAAGAACATGTTGACAATCAATAAACTCATCTTAGATACCAGGATTGAATTTTTGTACTCCAGACGCGCGTTTGGTCTATAAAAGACTCAACAAAAGACCCCCCCCCAAAAAAAAAAAAAAAAAAAAAGCTATTCAATTATAGTGTTTTCTTAGTTTCTTTTAGCATAGATAATGTGTTTTGATATATAATCAGTTATTCTATTTGAACCGCTGTGTGTATACTGACTTGCAATGGTGAGTAGGATTATTTCTATCCAAACCAATTTGTTAATTCTGCACGAATGCCTATGAAATATAAGAAAATAGTATTAACACAGATGAATTCAAAACGGACAATATGTCAAGGGTCTAAGCGTTCCATACTATATACAAATAAGAAGATGTAATATGAATACCAATGAGAAACTCTCCATCCAAGTCACAATTTGTAAAAAGTAAACAATTATAGGTCAAAGTACGGCCTTCAACACGGAGCCTTGGCTAACACCGAACAGCAAGCTATAAAGGGCCCCAACATGACAATTTTAAAACCATTCAAACAGGAAAACCAACAGTCTAATCTATATAAAAAACGAGAAACGAGAAACACTTAAGAACCATATCAACAAACGACAACCACTGAAACAGTATCCTGACTTGGGACAGGTGCAAACAAATGCAGCGGGATTATTTAATCAAAGTCTGACATTAAGGAAGCAGTTGCAATCGGTAGGTCTCTAGATCATACGACTTTTGATGTATCTAATTCTCAAACACTAATAACTGAGCTTTAGTAAGTTGAAAAGATGAAAATTGTTTCTGGAACAATGTAAAAATTAAAAAAAAAAAGTATAAGGAAACTATATTTGATCAGAACAGCTCTTTACAGAATGAGCAATAAACGATACGTCATGTCAAGTATTACATTAACATGTTAGACTTATCCTCCGCTACAAACTTAGAATTATTCATACAATTTGCCGGCAAAATGTTGGAACACTATTGTATAAACAAACAAAACCAACTTTCCACACAAGACTTGACATTTGCAAATTATGCTGAAATCGAAACGGTCGTTTAAGTTTGAAATTCTTTTATAAGGATATCAGTTTGTTGTTTGTTTTTTTTTTTAACATACATCACAGAACATAACAATTAATTGTAAAAAAAAAGGGTGTTTAAATGAAAGTGTCTTTATTATTCGCCATTGTAAACTTCGGTGCAGTTATATAAATCAATGAGGTTGCTTTGTTTTAGATGTTTTTATTTGACTGTATTTCATGGGATAAACACAAGTGACAAGTAAATCAGAAATGTATTACTTAAAGGAAACTAAACGATTATAAACTAAACAAGACCGGCAGTATCAAAAAGGAATGCGTGGTACATCTTTGATAAACTAAAAACGGATATAAAAAATCGAATTTAAGGTGAGTTTAACGGCTGTACACTTCACAAATGATTAACATATTTCGGAAGAATTAGTTAGAAGAGAGAGGGGCGAAAGATACCAGAGGGACAGTCAAACTCATAGATCGAAAATAAACTGACAACGCCATAGCTAAAAAATAAAAAGACAAACAGACAAATAATAGTACACAAGACAGAACATAGAAAACTAAAGACTAAGCAACACGAACCAAAAAACTGGGGGTGATTGGAGTGCAATTGAACAAAAAGGTGTATTGAATCTTGTCATTAGTGGGAACCTGTCTCTGTGCTCAATGAGGTGTTTGTTTTGTCTAAGTATCATCAGCTTTGACAGAATATTTACAAGAAAGACTATAAAAAAATAGATCAAGTATGTTACTTTTTGCCATCGAACTACAATGACTGTATGTAGAATAATGTCCCTAACATTGTTGGTTCCTTTTGGTCATACACATTTTTTAGAATTTGTATATTCTAGGCTTTAAAAAGTTTGGTTTTAAGCGTAACTTAAAACAAGATGACTTAGGATGGTTTTAAAAATACCTTTCAGTCATATAGCTCCAGAAATATAAGAATCAACAGCTGTCATCTTTTAATGTAGGGCGTTTCTAATTAAGGTAGATGCACAACAGCGAGTCAGATGCATTACATATTTAAAGTATTAGGTTGTATTTAAATTTATCTATTAACACTTAATGCAGTCGAATAATGGATTACTTCACGTGAACCTTCCGATTATAATTGGAAGTCTGACACATTTCTTTCCTGAACTTCCAAAAGAACGTCTAAAACTTTCATACATATATGACTGAAATGTTCGTAAAAAATATCGAGAAAACACACCTTTTAGATACGGTATTAAAATACACATTGGTCAAAAAGGATTTGCTGCTTCACGAAATTATCGTGTTTCTTGGAAATGTGAAAAAATAAATCAAACATATAGTCCTATTAAAGTGTTCAAAGTAGGAAAACAAGTGTTTTTCATTTGTAATAAATAAAAAGGAGTAATGCCCGTTCCAAATGTGTATTGAAAATGTTTAATGTTTAAAGTTTGAAGTTCCTTTGGTATCTATGGCCTCTTTTTTAATCGCAAGTGAATAATATAGTCTGCAGTTAAGATTTTTTATTGCCATAGTTATTTAGTGTTTTCTGGGAAAACCAATATAATTTAGAATTAATAATAAAGAAAAGAAAAGAAAAATAACTGATTACATTGTATGCAAAATCGAACGTTTTAAAATGCAACTGATTGGACATTCGTACCTAAGACACAAGGAGTATTTTTTAATACCATAAGATGCAAAGATAACAACATGTAACACCTTTATGTATATATAAATAATGTTATCATGTAGAAAGTCTTCTGAATGAACCGTTAAGTAAAATAATGTATTTGTTTTCTTCAGAATTCATGTGTGTCGCCAAAACAACAAGAAAAATAGAGACTATTGCAATAAATGACAGGTCGAGTTTTATGTTTGGAGTTATTTGGAGAGACTGAGGACATATGTTTACAATATGAATTTGTTAATTCTATAATTCAGAACAATGTTCACAAGAAAGGAACTATTGATTTGATCTTGTTTGATTTAGAAGAAGATGAGACATTCATAAAAAGTATGAGCTAATATCAAATTGAAATTGGAGATCAGCCGAGAACTCAAGATTTAAAAAACTATATATATATATGTTGCAAATGAAATAACATGTCTTTCTAATATAATTCACAAAACAATATGTTCATACATTTTTCTTCCAGATAAACATGCAAACGGTACCAATTTCAAAATACTATAATTCGTCTGATCCTTTGCGATATAATATTCTATTATATACTGTTACTACACGTACAGTTAGATGATTTAAGTTATTCTGTGCTAGCAAAACTGGTTCCACGTTTTAAGTAGAGAATCCAGTCGATTGTCTCATACCACATTCGAATGACTGACAGAACTAACATGTTATCGCACATTGTTGTATTGTTTCTGTGAATGAGGCGAAATACTTAATTCTCATCTTCGAAATTAAGTGCCAACTTTTGTCATCATTTTCCGCAAAATAAATTTGATCCCAGTGTTCAATAACACGGTATTTTCTCACTTTCCAATTTGGTCAGATTCTTTTAATCATATGCATTTGCTTTGCAGATGATTGTTTTTTTATTGAATAATTTAACAGTTTTTCCTATTTATTATATTTTATGATAAATTTGAGTTCAAACTTGTGTATCGTTACTTTTGTTGACTGTATAAGAATGAGGGGAGGACAGGGAAATCAAAATATAAGAATGAAGGGCGGGAAGAGGTGGAGTAAATATAGGGATATTCTGTTGATCATTTTTTACCAATTTTTGTCTGGGAGTAAGGGGCTAAAGGGAAGTGGGAGTAGCTGGGGAGGAGGGAATCGGGAGTAAATTGAGAGAAAAGTGGGAGTTAGAGGGTAGGGAAGTGGGTATCAGGGACCAGCCGGTCCACCCAATCAAGAATATTGCAAATTTGATATTTCTTGAACTGTTGTGCATACCAAAAGGCATGTATTTGTTTCTGAAGGTAAACACATCGTTTTACTTACAAGATAGATTTGGCACATCTGGTTTATTCTCTTTTTAACCAAAAAACTCATCATTATTGAAATGTATCTAGATTGTGGTTTGAGTTATCAATAGACCTTCATTTAATGTTTCATTATTCTAAGCACACAGTAATATCCACTCATGCATAGAGTAAACACCAGAAGCTTCGATATGTGAATTGTAACAGAAAAACAAAGAATATGGGGTATCCATCCATGACACAAAATCAGTACATGCACTTCAAAACACACAAAAAACCAAAAGGTACAGCACTTTTAATTCCTATTCTTCATCTCAAAGTCACTGTAAGGCCTTCAACACGGAGCAAAAAACTTTCACCTCACTGCAAGTTTAAAATAGCCCCCGGAACCGGCGTGAGCGGAATTCTTGGCAAAAACTACTTAAACAGAATTTGTAAGATGTAACTCCACCAAATCGGGCCCGGTCAAAGAAAAACTGGAAAGAAGTACATATTTAAAACAAAATAGTTCCTACGCATATGTGTAAATTTAAAACTAGATAGTATATATTTTATTGATTAAGGTATCAGATGAAAGGTGAAGGACCGGTGACCCTTGTAAAACACATAATTGTAATAAGGTTGAAAGACTTTTAAAATGTTCATGGTATGAAACAAAGGGCTACGTCTGCCCTATTTCTTTATAAACTACTTTTGATTTAGTGTTCAATATATGTTAAAGACTATGTTTTGCCCTCTAGATGTGTTCGGTATATTTGTCGGTCTGTCTGTTGGATATTAAGTCCATTAAATATGTTGTCAGTGGTTCTCTTGCTGTATATACATTGTTTGTTCTTTTGTTTTGTTTTATCCGAGTATTTAGTCCAGGGATTTAATTTTATTCATATCAAACGAAGTAGATTTTCAATGTATAAACATTCTAAAAAAATAGTTCAGTTAATCCGAATTATGCGAAACCAAACGATCACAAATGAATTATATCAAGGTTAAACTATAACAAAATTATAATAGAATAGAGAATGACAATATGGAATGTGTCAAAGATACAGCAACCTAACCAAAGAGCAGAAAACAGCACAAGGTCACCTATGTGTCGTCAACGCATGGACCAAATCCACTAACTGGAGGTGGACTGACCCCTAAATCATAATGTATACAATTTCAGAACAATGAACGCCACACTAAACTCCGAAACATACAGACAAACAAAATAAAAAAAAGGAAAACACATTACTAACAAAGGCTAGAGGTTAACTTGGGACAGGCGCAATAATCCGGCGGAGTTAAACATGTTTTGTGAGATATCAACAAAATTGTCACTTGCCAAAACTGTAATCTACATGAAGAGTTAAATGAATATAAACTAAATGAAAAACAGGAAATTTGCATTCTATAAATAGGATCATTTATATATGAAATTTTTCAACCAATTTTAGATTTCATCTTGCTTTCACCAACAAAGGACTTATAAACAACAAATATTATTATACCTTACATATATCATAAACAATTCTATTAGGTTACACGTTATCACGTGACATGGAATAATTCAGTTAATTATGATTTAATTGCAGGGAGGGACGAATAACCCTAAAAATGTACACCAGCGTTGAATAACCCTATTATTCACCAATGAATAACCTTTTGAGTTTCATGATTTGTACACGAGTTATCTCCCTTGAAAATGACGTCACAGAAGTAAGTAAACAAAATGGCAACATTCAACTTCAAGTTACAGGAAGCCCATCAAGTGACGAGTAAAACAAGGCTTTGGAAATGCATCTAGTGCCGAGGATATCTCTTATAAACAGTCCTTCTCAGGGCCATCAATGTTTCACAAAAAGGTTCTACCTTTGTTTTACATATGAGAAATTCTAAGACAAAAATTTCTGTTGAACGTTTACTTGTGTTTGTTATGATACAGTAGGTTACGTGCTTTTCAACGTTTCAAAAGGCCCTCCCACTTTTAGTTCGGTATAATAAAACAATTGTGGCCCCTAAAGAAGCGATGAATATCCAAAATTGTCAACTCTGATAGATTATTTCACTTCGGGCTGCGCCCTCAGTGAAATAACCTTTTGGTGTTGACGATTTTGGATATTCAACTTCTCTACGGGCCATAATTGTATATTAAAGTTATGCAAGATAAATATTTTTTTTTATGATGTTTACAATTTTCTTTCTTTAACAAGTTAATTCCGTGAGCATGACATAGTTTGCCCCTTTGCTATTTCTTCGAAAGCAAAAGGCAATGTCAAGCAAAGAGTGAACAGAAGCTTAGAAAACGAGAATACGGAAAAAAAGAAAAAAAAACAACATCAATAACAATTTGATTCTAAATAAAATTCTGTAGGAATATTTAAAGTGCATAGGAAATAATACCTTGACAGTTGATATTTTCTAAACCACAAGGCATGATACACAGGGATTAGAAGGATAAACAAGTTGTAACAGTAAACATAACACATTGTTCCCTCCCAACGCCCAGCCATATCCTATGAAGCATGATACAAAGGGATTAGAAGTATAAACAAGTTGTAACAGTAAACATAACACATTGTTCCCTCCCAACGCCCAGCCATATCCTATGAAGCATGATACAAAGGGATTAGAAGTATAAACAAGTTGTAACAGTAAACATAACACATTGTTCCCTCCCAACTCCCAGCCATATCCTATGAAGCATGATACAAAGGGATTAGAAGTATAAACAAGTTGTAACAGTAAACATAACACATTGTTCCCTCCCAACGCCCAGCCATATCCTATGAAGCATGATACAAAGGGATTAGAAGTATAAACAAGTTGTAACAGTAAACATAACACATTGTTCCCTCCCAACTCCCAGCCATATCCTATGAAGCATGATACAAAGGGATTAGAAGTATAAACAAGTTGTAACAGTAAACATAACACATTGTTCCCTCCCAACTCCCAGCCATATCCTATGAAGCATGATACAAAGGGATTAGAAGTATAAACAAGTTGTAACAGTAAACATAACACATTGTTCCCTCCCAACTCCCAGCCATATCCTATGAAGCATGATACAAAGGGATTAGAAGTATAAACAAGTTGTAACAGTAAACATAACACATTGTTCCCTCCCAACTCCCAGCCATATCCTATGAAGCATGATACAAAGGGATTAGAAGTATAAACAAGTTGTAACAGTAAACATAACACATTGTTCCCTCCCAACTCCCAGCCATATCCTATGAAGCATGATATAAAGGAACAGGTATCATCTGTCAACTTCTAATGAAAAAACAATTTCAAACAAATAGAATAATTTTAACAACGATCAGCGAGAGACCATTGGAACAGAAATCGATCGTAATATATGGTAGGACATTCCCTCTTAATCAACTAAGACTAAACTATGTAATCTCATAAAATATGGATCGGACAGAAACCGCAAATAAGAACTCTTTCTGGAAAACATAGAACACCTCTAACGTATTGTAATGACAAAACAAGAGAAACGTTGGCAAGCCACAGGAGCATCCTACACCATTCTTTAGTGTACAGCATCACTTCATGGCTGTATGATCCTGCTTAATACTTTACATGACGAGTAGCAAGAGAAATAAAAAACCATAAACAAATAAACATGCAATGCCTTTATGGAAATCTAAATCAGTTCATTTTCAGCCAATCAGGTAACAATGACTTAGAACAATTTAGATACATAGTAGCAAAAATTGAATACTTGGAAATACTATCTGAACCTATAACATCTGATAATGATGACATTCAAGTTTGTATTGCAAGTATTCAGGGATGATGTTCCTGCAAGACAATTTTGAGTTGGACAACAGAGAGGTGAATATCATCCATGTGTAGGATGGATTCATGCAAATGATCTAGGTAATTTTGTTTTGTTTCTATGGCAAAGATCAAGAGATGCAGTACTTGATGCTTTCATCCTACAAAGAAAAGCATCAAATACCCAAAGACATCTTGATAATTATTATTATAACTTTTCTTAAATAATAGCATTTCGATAATGCGCTAGACCCTTATCGTAAAGTAAGTTATAAAAGGCTAAAAAAAATTACAAAATATTAAGCAATTCAAAGAAGAAAAATATTTATGGTTTGTATTAACCCATTTGGACTGTTACTGTTTTGTTCAGTAAAAAACGAGCATAGCGACATTTCGACAACATTTATGCAACCTTAGACCTAAAATACAAATGAAAACAACACATTATTAATTTCATGCGTCCGAAGCGCTTTTCAGGATTTACCTTCATCAGGAGCGTTCAAAGTCGAATATTTGAAAGCTGAGGCTGTATAAGAACCGAAACAGTTGAAGAGCAAGATGGCCAAACAGTACCTAAAAAAATAGCCAAATCCATCTAAGGTCAACTTTGCCGAAGGGAGTTGAAACCTTAGTTCTTTATAATTTCAAAATTTATAAACGGAGAATTTTAGAAAGATTTGATATAAATCATGTCAGTACCGAAGTACTGACTACTAAGCTGGTGATACCCTCGGGACTGATAGTTTCAACCGTTTCATTTGCGCAGTAGTCAAAGGGTCAGCCCTTACATACTTTATTAAGTAAAACCTGTATAAAAACAATCATAACTAAAAAAAAATCATATTTGATACCCTTTGTCAACGTAAGGGTGGCTTTCATTTGCCGCTTGGTGATATTTAAAGATTAGGTGTTTGATAGCGTTTAAATCTCCACCAGGGGTCGACTAAGTCTGACACAAATATAGTGTAGAGAAAAATAGATATTAACTCACATTCCTCAAAGTGGCCTTTTCTTAAATTTTTACTTCATCACTTTCTTTGATAATTCATATGCATTGTAACAATATAAAAATTGGCATATGATAAGTAAAACAGTTGTAACTTATTAGTTTAATTTGTCATTTACAAGTCATTGGTATACTATAAAAGTAAAATAACAAAAATACCGAACTCAAAGGCAAATTTAAAACGGAAAGTCCCTTAATTATCAAATGGCAAAATCAAAAGCTCAAACACATCAAACGAATGGAAAACAACTGTCATATTCCCGACTTTGTACAGGCATCTCCTTATGTAGAAAATGGTAGATTAAACCTGGTTTTATAGCTAGCTAAACCTCTTACTCGTAAGAAAGTCAAATAATTATTGACAACAATGTGTGAACAAAACAAAACAAAGTAAAAATGCAACAAATAGGGGTATAGCAGTCAACATTGTGTTATAATCCTACTCATCATAAAAACAAAAAGGTATGTCAACAAAGAGAAGCAAAATTGCATATAGAGAAATCTGTAGTTTTCATCAAATATTCAATAAGGCATAATGTTTGAAAAAAAAGGTCAACCAAACATGTATCGTAATTATAAAATGAATCTACGCAAATCGTTTATTTCAATTTCACATCTTTTCTTACAGTATGACGTAAACGGAAATACACTGAAAATTACTGAAGTGCATTGATGTTTGTCAAATCAGGCTAATAACTGGTTCACTTTAAAAATCCAGGGCAATAGTAATTATATAAATTTGAAACTTATGTATCGTGTGGAAATTATAACTTAAGAACGTTGACAAAGAGATTTGGTAAGTTATACATATAAAAATCTGTTTTTACTTTTATCTTAGTTATGCTCATTAATTCAAAAACGAAATATACATGTCCACAGTATCTCCGAGGTCTAATATAAAAATATCAACGTCGCTTTCTCATAACGCATGACAAATGCATTTTATCTGATGCAATTTTATAGAACTGGGTGTCAAATTTTGTGACGACCGCAAAAACTCATTGTAATTCGGACACGGAATTGTCTGTTTACTTATTTGTCATTAGTCCATTTAAAAAAAAAAATATCGCTGTTAATATAAAAGATAAAAGTGTTCGTGTCGGTTTAAGAAATCAGCTCTTTATTTAACAAAGAAAAGTAATTATCTGACCCATTTGTATACAGAAGAAAATTATATGGATTCAGTCATACATTTAAATGTCCCCGTGACAATACATTTTTAATTCACATAAAAAAGATAGAATCGCGACAGTAAACTGATACTTGTTTACTTAAACTATATATTTTGTCGTACAAGTATTGAGTTCAACAATTGGTTAAATTTGAAAATAGATATCTACGAAAAACACACGGAAAGGTGAAGGACCAACACATAAACATGATAAAATAATGCTTTCGTTTGATTTTTATGAGGACATAAGAATGAACCGAAAGGAGCGAAACAAACATTAAGTTCGAAAACAGTATGGAATCGTAATTTGTTGACAAAACTTTCAACCGTTTCCAAATGAGTGAAAATCTAAATCAATTAATGCAGTTAATAAATAAACACAGTCTTCATCAATTAAAATCACTCAAAAAATATGATATTCTCTGAACACAACCTAAATGCAAAATGCTGGTACTGATAATTCCAACTAGACACTAGCTATGAAAGAGTATATACAACTGTGTTTTCAAAAGGATTTCACGAATACTTAAATGCATTATGTATATTATCAATCCAATTGATGTCAATTTACAAATACAATGATATATGCTTTGCTAACTGAACATTTTATAAACATTTACAGTGACAAAGAATATTCAAAACCTCTGATATTTAGACATAGTCAAACATGAGAACATCACTTTATAAATTGCATGAGTCTGTAGCACTTCCTGGGTTTACCATCATCAATGTTCACACTCACGGAGCTCTCATCTATGTTTTTGTCATATCAGTTGCCATAACTGTGAATCCTCTGAAACCAATAAAAAGCAATGTTATCAGTGTACAAATGTCACAGCTGTGAATATAGTATAATGACTATTCATGTGAAAATAGGTTCTGATCTGATAAAGTCTTCTTTCTATATATACCTTTTTCTTTTTAATTTATCAATTGAATGTTTCCATATTGTTTCCGTCTTATTATAAAACATGTTATCTCTATTATTAGAACAAATCGCGTGTTTTGTTGAAAAATAACCCAGCTTATATTTTAAAAGTATTTCAGGGTACCTTCCTTTTATGAAAAATGATGTTTGGTGCTGAATAATCCAGTTTTTATTTACGCAGTTTACAACAATATGAAAAATTATGTGACGGTATTGTCTAAAATATTCCTTTTTGTCTGCTTTATTAATCAAGGTAAGACATTTAAATGTATAACAATATTAATCACGTAAAGTATTATTGGCATTGAAATCAAAATAGTCAGGAGTCAAAATCAATACACACGAAACAGCACATTGTCCTCATATCAAATGCAAAACACAAAGTGTGTATCAAGTTAAAAAGTTTCTACCTTTGAGGCTTTCTAACTGAGGAGGGATTTATGTTTTTGTTGGTTTTAGAATGTTGAAGGAACTACTTGACGTTGTTATTTTTAAATTCTCTACCTTTTTTTTCTTATTCGAAGTTTTGGTTTACAAGCACAAACATGACAACAGTGATATTTAACTTTTTGCAGGTCTTTGTAGTAATAGAAAGTAAGCATCTAGTATCAATACAACATGCATGTGCTAAAAGCACTCTTTTGAGTTATGTCCCAACATAGTACCACCTGTGGAATTTTCATCTTTGCTTGCTTTCAAGACAACGGTCGAACAAACTAGGTGTTCATTATGGCAATTGAAAATCAATAAAACAGTTAGGAGGTTTAAAAAAAAGTCGTTCAAACCGACATTATAACGAAATATATCAGGATAATAAAATGTTTTAGTCATTATGAACATAATCATAAACTTTCAAACGTTTTTTTTTTTGTTTTTGGAATTATTATAGACCTCAAATAATTAGACTAAAACGATTTCAACCCCTCGTACAATATACACTGTCGGTAGAAAAAGTAAAAAACCCAGATATAAACGAAGTTACTTTCTTGTTTTACGTTCAATTATATTGATAAGATGCTTGCATTTATTGACGTTGATAAACCGACTATTCAATTTTGACAATATGGCAACGCCCTCTAAACTGCGTTCAGCCCCCTAATTGCACTGTGCTATAAAAACAAACATGTATATCAAAAACTTAACACAGTTTTTCAATGCAATTAAAACTTCTAAGCTTTTGTTTAGTGCACATAGCTGATGATGATCTGCTGCTTAAAACTCAGTAACAAATGCTGCTGAAATAAAAATTAAGAAACAGTTTGGGACTTAAATACCCGAGGCATTTTTGTATCGAACTTAAGTTCATATGACGGATTATCATTTTAACACAATGAATCAATGGTCATATTATATGACACCGTGTTTCTGTTTCTATTAATTTTTAAATCGTTTACTATCTAAAATTGATTGTCCATAGCCAAGTGTTGATAAAGGAACAAATGATATCATACTTGTGTTATAGACAAGAAAAAAGAAAATAGGAAGTATTGTACTGAAGAAGGTATTGTAAACAAATCCTTAAATATCTCTAAACTTACTTTTCAGGTCTTCAAAACAAGATCATATTTTCAATTTATGGTAAAATTAAAGAATTCAACATAAACACGGGAAACGTATCAGAAATCTTAATCGACCAACAGAGTTATATACATTGTTTTGATTATGACTCTAACAACGAATACATATATTTTCCAAGAGCTGACAAAAACGATATATTGAGGTACATTGTATGTGTTTTGTATAAGGAAATAGCAAATCTGGTTCACATGACACAAATAGATTGAGATAACTCTTTCGTGCATTTAACATATTATTGTATTGCTTTCAATTGGCAATGGTTTTACGCTACTTGTTCTGACAATAATAGCTATTATTTTCAATTGTTTAACGAATACGAACACATCGTTACATTGTTAACTTTCTTGTGTTGGTGCTGCTGCCTTTTATCTTGCAATTTTCAAAATGTTTTTGCTACCTCTAGTGGTTGTTAAGGGAATGACATTTGATTTTCTGAGGGGTAAGGAGCAAGAGGATTTTGGAAATGAATATCCTGGCCTTGAAAGATTTGAAAAATGAATAACTTTAATAATAGAAGCAAGGGTAGCAACATATAAAAATAGTCAATCTACCAAAAATCCTCCGGCCCTCCACCAAAAGAATAAATGGCCGTCCCCAAACAGATGGCTTCAGTCGAGGATTTTTACAGGTAATATGCTTATGAGAAATATAATACTCTCCGCGAATGGTTTAGACCTTGAGGTTGTGGATTCAAGTAAAAATACAAAACAAATGTTTGGTCTACAAACACACATGCTACACCTAACTGTAATGACCCAAATATTGCAAAGAACTTGTCATCATCCATGCACGTGTAGGCTTATATCCCTGCATATAAGGCCTCAAACAACATCTCGTTTGTGCGTAAACCACATATACATAAACGGGTTAATGCATTAGTAAGGTATTGCTAATTCACCTGATGACTAAACAAATATCCCCACGACACTAACCAAGAAGGAAATTCTGAGAAATCTAAGGTCTGTCATATGTTCCTGTGGAATTGTAAACAAAGAATAATAACTGGATATTCCTTTTCTGTACTATAAACATAAAAAATGAAAACAACACGCTATGAAGTTTTTGCGTCCAAAGCGTTTTTCTGGATTTACCTTCATCAGGAACGCTCAAAGCCTAATATTTAAAAGCCAAGAATGTGTAAAAACCAAAACATTTGAAGAGCTATATGACCAAAAAGACAAAACATTAATTACATTAGTGTCCTTACAAACAATGTTTTACTAAAGGGTCGTCCTTAAAACCCCTTTCTTCACTTTTAACAACAATTTGATCAGCAATCATAACCGAGTTTGAGAGATAATGTAAAAATCGAATAGCGGTGTGAATAAATTTTGGACACAAAAAAAATACAAAAAAGCTAAAAGAGTGAAATTAGTACAAAATCAGTAAGAATGTGTTCTTTTCATCTAAGACAAAAGGGATATCGTACCTTAGTTTATTTGCCCACACTTTTTTCTCGTAAGAAGTAAAACAAACAAATCACCAGTCTGATTAAAATTGTTCGACAAAAGTGCTGTAGGCGATTACCGTAAAGAAGAATTTCAAATTACCAAATGACCTGTTCTCGAAACTTAATTTTGAAAAGATCAACGCTGACAGTTGAAAAAGTGTTGAATCTTTGTTCTTAAATTGATAAATGTATGAACCAAGTCATCGATCCCAATGTTATTCTTCTGTTGTCCGTATATATTTTCTACTTCTATGTTATAGTTTTTGATGATTTCTCTCTATGAAATGACTAATTAAATTGTATATAATTAATATACATACCATATCTTCTTATATCTATATATATATAAACAAAAACAAACATATAATGGATATATTCTTAATTGTTTTTCAAGATTTCGTTATCCATCAGAACAAGTTTATATGACAGAAACAGTGACTCAGGCAAGAAGGCCAATAGGTGTCGCTATTGATCCAGTAGGCAATCATGTATATTGGACAGAACGAATGGCACCAGAAGAGCTTAAGCGATGTAATTTCGATGGGTCAAATAATATATCAATACTTCAAAATGGTCAACTATATGCTCTTACGTTAGATTATCGGAACAGGTTTGTAATTATTTAGCTATCAGCGACTTAGGATTGTATGGAACCCATGAAAACCAAAACAAAGCTGGTTAATAACTGAATTTTGTGCACATCCTTAATAAATTAAGATATGTTTTAGAATAGGTGTAACAAAGCTTTGTTAAATCAGTTGTAATTTTCTGCATACCAATCTCTACATGCATAGCAGATATTATAACATCACTATATTCATTTGAAATCATCCAATGACTTCTTTGTTTTTCATGCAATCGTACTTCGTATCTAATCGCAACATATCAACATAAAGAGTCAATCAATATAATTATCAAAGGAACATGAAATATCTTGGAAACAACCCATGAAGCAAGCGATTCAATAACAAGCAATTGAGATGGTATTTGAAACAATAAATGCAAATAAGATAACTTGTAGCCTAGCAACACATCATTACTACATTGAGAGCTATACGTAAGTGTACTATTTGATTAACTTATAGCGTATTTATTTTCGTTCTGTTTACTTTGTCGACAGTATAACCTAAACCATTTATTAGCACACACCTTAACGTGAATACAAGAGCAAACATTTAATACCTTTGGAATAGGACATATAGTTTTACACTTTTTAAAGGAAATATTAGAGTAATAACATCATTTTATAATGTATTTTTTCATTGTTTTTGTCATTTTATACGCAGATGGTTGTATTACAGTATATATCCTACAAATAGTGCAATAAGACGATCAAGATTAAATGGAACAGAAAATCAGACAGTATTAGATGTTTCTACAGAACAGGTCACTGGTTTGAGTATAGGTATATTATCAGAATATTGCATAATTAATTTGTAAAAAAAATGTTAAATTTTTATCCACAAATGACCACATTATGGACAATGCATTGTCATACAAACCTATTAAAAACTTGAGATAATAATACATTCATGATGTCAACGTTGAGATTGGAGATATTTTGTAGTGCAGGGTGACAGGATTTTATACCAGAAGGACGAGATGTTAGTAATAACTGAGAGTAGGTTTTTAAGCTGAATTTTTAAACATGATATATTTGCATAGCATATAACAATATTATAAGGGAAAAAATGATAATAACCCCGCCTCATTCTCTATATGCATATTCCAAGTCGTCAGGGACTGTAATCCAGTTGTTTGCTAAATTCATGTTTGAATTAGTGTCTTGTACATAATTCAGACCATTGGTGACTAATATAAATGCGTACATTCACGTTTGTGGGATAACTTTGGGTAGTTGTCTCATTGGAAATTATAAAACATGCTTGTATTTTATACTACATATTTTGACTGAACTTCTTTTATTCTGTACTTTTAAATTCGCATTCTCTAATATATCTAACTTGAGTATGTATCGTTTCCTCGATTTGCAGGAGCAGTAACAAAGTGACCAAACAGGTGACGCGTCTTCCTGTGGAGTGCAACCTCATAAATTGTTTCGACATATAATATAACTCTTAGTGTTAGTCTAGTACAAAACATGTATATTATTCATTTCACAATAACATGATCTCGTCATGAATATGAATTCAATTTACCACTGCACATATTATCTTGGTACACTAACTATGATATACTGTGTCTAAAATACAGTCTTGGAATATACGAATTTCTTATTAACGGTAAAAAGTTGCTTTTGATTTGTTTTTTTTTTCTTGTACTTTGTCAAATGCCCATGACTACTGGATCAACTATCCTATTTAGGGTGAAGGTTAGCGTCTGTTTAAACGTTTAAACCTGCTGCATATTTATGCACCTGTCCTAAGTCAGGAGCCTGTTTTTCAGTGGTTGTCGTTTGTTGGTGTGGTTCATAAGTGTTTCTCGTTTCTCGTTTTTTTTTTATATAGATCAGACCGTTGGTTTTCCTGTTTGTCTCATTGGCACTCATACCACATCTTCTTATGTATATACACAATATATAGCGTGCGTTAGTCGAGCTAACATTCCATATTCAGTTAGAATAATTAATTGTTTGTCACTTGACTCGTCCTTATATGCGTTAAATAAATATTCTCCTGAAAAAAACAACCCGGGATTATTCACAAGATACAGGGATAATGACAAGATTGTTAATAATTAGTGTAAAATTGCTTTCACAATAGCTTATCTGCAAAGGTGTTATTGTTAATGTTTTAAGTTTGCTTTTCGGGATTTGAACCGAGGTTATATACACTAACACAATTTTCAGCTTGTCCACTTAAACATTAAATATGTTTGATTTGTTTCACAATTGCTTTATTAATCTGTGTTAAAAAAAAAAACAAAAAAAAAAACAAACTAAATCTACCCATGAGTGAAACATACATGACATAGGAATTACGTCACTTTTCTGCTTGACCTCTATCCTTGCTATTATCATGAAAATACATTGAAACAATGTTTAACGCCTTTTAATTCTAGTAGCCGAATATGGTTACCATTCCAGAGCACCTGAGATCACTCCCAGATTTTTGTGAGGTTCCTGTTACTCAGTCTTTAATCTTCTATGTTATGTTTTCGTTACTATTGTTCTCTTTTGGTTTGTTAAAATATTTTTGCCATGGCGTTGTCAGTTTATTTTAAGTTATGAGTTTGAATGTCCCATTGGTATTTTTTGCCTCCCTTTTAGATAAAATTTTTAACTGTTCATCGTAACCAGGATGTTATATCGAGTTTCGTATGTCTTGAATGTATATCTAGTGGATGTGTTCCGATTACTATGTTTTCTGGATACACGATCTGTGTACTAGCTGGTTTTTGCTTTGAACTAGCTTTTTGTGAGTACAATAAGGTATATACTTTGTGTCTCTAGAGTATATCACGATCTGATGAGTCAATAATATTTTATAAAGATATTGTTAGTGTGTGTATCATGGAAACAATCGAGTTTATACCAGCAAAGAAGACATATTTTCACTTCTATATTTGGTGACGACATCTAGAGCATAGCGGCCCAATTTGATTTTAAACACGATATGAGTTTTTATCTTACCTCCTATACATTTCTAGGAATATGATTGGTTGAAAGCAAACACGTGGAGACCGTGTATATTTCATATGGGGTTAATAGGCGGGGCTTATTTCAATACACGGCTACTAGTGGTGCTACGTCCCTTTATAAAAACAACACGGTGTTAAGGAAAAATCTAATGGTTTCAACAGACAAAGAAATTGATGATGAACGATTTAAATAAATTTTTAAACACATTTAAAGCTAACATGTTGTTATTGTTGGTATTAATACAAATGGAATTAGGTTCTTAAAACTTAATATTGAAGACTTAATCGATTTGATAAGCCACTAGTCTACATACCACATGTTATGATAGTCGGTAAGATATATTCGTTACATAGTATGCTAGTGACCTAATACACATCGCTCTCACCCCATATGGAATTTACAGACCACATATATATCGTATTAGGTCACTATCACACTATGTAACTAATAATCTCCTTCTATAGACATGATGAACTGTGGCAAATATATAAACACGAAAAGATAAATAAAAACATTCCAAAATAGACAAATATAATCTATTTTGGATAGCACTTTAGAAAAATAGAAATAAAAAAGAAACAACCATGCTAAGGCTTACTTCCTTAGAAAATTCATAATACAAATATTGCATTTGTTTCTAACACAGTCTGTAAATCTTAAAACGAATAATGACAAGATAATACAAAAAAAAGGATCTTTAGTTTTAAATGCATTTTGAATATATGCAATGCCCGGTTTCCAATTTTATTTCAGATTATAATGGTGATAGACTGTTTTGGCTTGAAAGAAAGAGTGGTGATGTGAAATCTTCCAATTTTAATGGAACTAACGTTGTCAACATTGTCAGCACAAACGCAAACGAAAACTTGGGAATACACGTACATAATGGCGACATATACTGTGCAAATGGCAAACGAATTCTACTGGTCACATTATCACCCAGAACTAAAACAAATGTCATGTATTCTGATATAGAGATGATTTACGGTGTACTATTTTACAAGGAAAAGGGTAAGTGTATACCTGATACAAAAAGCAGATACATATACGTAGTAAGTCAAGCGCACGTCCCAAGAGCATAACAGTTATTACGACCAAAGTCAAAACAATAGGAAGTTTAACCGCATAAACAACCAAGAGATTCTTAAATGTAGTGCAAAATCTTGCTTCTACGAGTAAAAGGAGAAATTGGATATACGCAAATGAGACAACAACCAAACGGCAAATTTAATTGGGATTAAAATGGCCTCCATATTGAAAAAGTATCTTTATAATATGCCAGGCTCTGAATTGTTTTGATTCTTTAACATTTTTGAATGAATTAAACAGAAACAGAAACAGAATCAGTCTAAGATCCTCTCTGAACACCACGTTATATGCGCTTTTTATATTTTGATTACATTCCAAAATTATCGCTATTTCTGTTTTTGGATAACATATTTACGGTAAGTAACTCAATTAATGTAATAGATGTATTGCACCGTGCATTTAAGTAACTTACAGGTATTAAATGACAAACATTATATTAATTTATCATGTTCTTTTTCATTATCATTTTGTTACGGAAGAGCAACTTGTAAAAGACCGTTTTATTTTTGTTTGTACATGTAGTTTTGTATTTATTATGATTATTATGATACATTTTAATGTTTATTTGCATCTTTTTCTTTTATTTATATATCAGTGTTACAATATGTTATGTGATTGCTAGTTGCTTGCTTTTCTTTGCAGATGTTTTATTTATTTATTAACACCAACCACTTGATAATTACAAACATTTTCAACCAAAATATACACTAAACTCGTTATTCAATATCTATCAGAGTCCTTAATACGAGGTATTTCCTGGCATTGCTATTTTGTGATGGTTAATCTGTAGAATTCACATGATAGTCACATGATATTTAACAGCTTCATAATGTTGCATAATTTTATATACTGTCGTGTACATGGTATAGTTTGTAGATTTATAACATGCATTACTATATCGTTCTTTTTTATCATTTCTTTTACTGTTTTATAGTTGTAACGAAAATATGTTACCTATGTCTACCAAGATATTAATTTTAATCTTAGGCGTTACTTATATTAAAAATTTGATATACTCAAGCTTGCTTGGTCTTTAAATGTGAGTATTTTTAAACATTTATAAAGTTACCAATGACTGCAAATAACGTTTACATTTGTATTCTAGTATTTGAATTTTATATGCATATATACTCAGATGTTGAATTGTTCTCAGTTTCAAGTATAAATTAGGCTCTTATCTGTTTCATGCCGTGTTTTTCGGTAGTATTACTAGCCAGCTGTTACTTTAAACGACAGTACATAGTGGGTAAGATTTTTTCTAAAATATTCAAGATATATGGGCATGTGTTTCTTTCAATTATTGTTATATTAGAAGATTTATTTATAGCATTACTTTACGATATGACTCAAAGAGCACATGCACAACTGTAGGCAAGTTCCTTGATGTAGATCAAAATTGCCACTGTTCATTAATAAATATATTTGAAATATTTAGATACTACATACAAACAAAGTGAATGCATGTGATAGTATATTATAAACACACTCTGGAAAGCTCGACACTCATCAGTAGACTGGCAAAATCATAGCAAAAAAAAAAAAAAAACGACTGACAACACCTCACAGAATCGTCTTGTATATATATAGGGATCCGGAAAGGTTAACATATCCTGCTTCATAAGCTACCTCCGTAGCTTCAGCGCATTTAATAGAAAAGTCCTCTAATAAACAAGAAACAAAACAACGGATAAAACCCTAATATCAATAGCATGATGCGTGTTATAACATTTGATTGTGTTTAAGGTTTCGTTTAGAATTTGTGAAAGTATGATATAGTACTTCTGCAATAATTGTGTGGCCGTAGCTGAGTGGTATCGGAAATAAACTGCAGAACTGGATAGTTATCGGGGAGACATTATGCGTGTGGTAGCGATTAATAGTAAACAAGGTAAAATGTAGATTATCATTTACTTTCGATTCTGTAGTTAGTCCCCACTTTGGTTTTATCATGTATATCTATTATATAGTCATTTTATAATATTTACTGTTTGCAAAATTATAAATTATTCTAAATAATAAGGATGTTCTTGTCCCATGCAGAAAATCCTGGCCGTGTTAGGCGCAACTTTTTGGAAGTTTTGGTCCTCGGTGCTCTTCAGCTTTGTACTTGTTTTGGCTTTCAAACTTTTTTTTATCTGAGCGTCACTGGTTAGTCTTGTGTGGACGAGACGCACGTCTGGCGTATTGAATTTTACCTAGTACCTTCTGCTAGCTATTATTCGTGTGTTTCTTTGTCCTATATGTTCTCCCATTTATTTGTATTGTGGTCCTATCATGTGATGTTGTCGTTTTGGTGTTGTGGTTGACGTTGCCATAAAAGCGGGAGGTTTGGCATGCCACAAAACCAGGTTCAACCCACCATTTATTTCTTAAAATGTCCTGTACCAAGTCAGGAAAATGGCCATTGTTATATTATAGTTCGTTTCTGTGTGTGTTACATTTTAATGTTGTGTTTTTGTTGTGTCGTTGTTCTCCTCTTATATTTGATGCGTTACCTCAGTTTTAGTTTGTAACCCGGATTTGTTTTTATCTCTATCGATTTATTAGTTTCAAACAGCGGTATACTACTCTTTATTTACAGTTTATTCCTTCTAAATACATATTATTAGAACAACTGACTGAAGTCAGAAAAATATATCAAATAGTAATATACAATGTTAAGTTTCTGAAGCTATTAACATGACAAATGTCATACTGAAAATCAAACAAACAGAAAAACATTTGTTAATTGAAAATGTACTCAAATTAAAGAAGACAGTAGTCAAAAGTGTACATGTATCAATGTTTACGTTAGAGGTATGATTTACAGTATTGTATACCAAATTCTATGTCTTTATATCTGTTTGCCTTCAATACTCTTAAATATACTAGAAACATAGTATATCAAAATATATGAGTCAATAAATTACTTGTATTTCTCAGTATTGTAATCATAGTAATGTTTAAATGGGTCTATTTCTATAAAAAAGAAGATGTGGTATGATTGCCAATGAGACAACTCTCCACAAGAGACCAAATGACACAGAAATTAACAACTATAGATCACCGTATGGCCTTCAACAAATGAGCAAAGCCCATACCGCAATTTTCTGCACGTTTTGAAGTAGATGTGACTTTGCTCTCGATGTATGACATTTTTGACTTGGTCGTTTTCTATTCCTTCATTGTTTTTTTTCTTTCTCTACCTGAATAATAATGAAAATGTTTTTAATTTTAAATTCCAGTAACATCACATCAATCTAAAACATTTTGTTTTCTTTCGACACAAAATGTACGTCCAAACTTTGCGAATGTGCACTATATCTTATTTAATTGTTTATTTTATATATTGTAGATCAGGACGGATGTCAATTAAAATTTTTATAACACAACCTGAAGAATAATATTTTATCAGCCACCATTTACTTTGACTTTATGATATGTCATCTTTGAAGCAGAACTTTTATAATACTAACGTATATTGCATTTGCGTATGTAGTGTGATTGCATGTCAAATTTAATTTTTTTGTTTAAATAAACAGTAGTAATTATATTTTATTTTGTTAATAATAACAGATAAAGTTCACACTTGTTAAATTCTTCACCAAAACGTACTGCAAAATTGCATGCACATTTTTGTTTCTAGTTGTTCTTATTTGAAGACAAAAATAGTCATTTTAATCAAACAGTAGGTGTGATCATACTATTTTGCTCATCTTCTGTAAACATTTTAGATTTGTTAAAGGTACACATGGCAAATATGTCTACTATGTTTCATGTAGTTGCACAGATACGCCGGTATTTTTAACCCATAACTGATCGATTATGTGTTTAGTAAAGATTGATTCAACCAATTGATGTCACAAAATTTATTTTTCAGAATATTTTCAGGAATTTAATGCTTTTTATGGTAATTGTATGTTAGAAATTATTTCAAATTAACGATTGTATCTCCCTCATGCAAAGCTCAGATTCCTAACCCGGCTTTGGCTATACTTTTTGGATTATAGCTCTTCATCTTTTTAATAAGCTTTGGATTTTCAAATATTTTGGTGTCGGGCTTCACTGAAGGGACATTTATTGTCGAAATTCGTACCTGGGGCAAAAAAATTGGTAGGTTAATGTTATTATGTTAATATTTTGAAACATAAAATGTAATACTGTATTAAGGGAAGACCATTTGATATTCTGGGGGGGGGGGGGGGGGGGGGGGGGTAGGGTGGGGGTAGGGGCAGGAGGATTTTAAAAATTAATTATTCCGCCTTGATAATGACAAAAATGAATGATTCGTTCTGTGGTAGTTTGAAAAAAAAATCTGAGCTACTATGTATTGAAAATTAATATCTCAACAGGTCTTTTAAACCATTTTATAAATGCATGTTTTAAAGTATGAGATGGCACCAGATTCTACAAAAACTCTTCTTTATTCATATTTTTTCGGAAAAAAACTTCTCAAATATTTAATAAAATATAAACTACACCATAAATAAATATTAATGTTTTTGAAATGTCTGAACATGGATTTCATTTCACTTACGGTATATTGTCTCACGAACATTAACCTCACTTTTATACCTTTTCACATTTTAACCTGTATTGTTTTATTGTGTACGTATGCATTATGTACAGTTTTAAATTAAATTGTAAATAATGTATTTCATCTCATCGAATTATATTAAAATCAGTCGGGTCCAGGACCAATCCAGTATATATTTTTATAATCCTTTGTAATAATTCCATTTTCTATGTACATGTATCTAGAGTTATATAGAATTGGTTTACTCAATGTATGATGATAATTTTTTGTTATGGAATACTTTTTTCAGCATTTATTTTTGTACTATTAAAGAAATTCATACGTGTTTGTAATTTTAATAGTGTGTGTATTCTTAGAAAAGAATCACAGAGCTGAGTCTGCGTTTCTTTTTATTTAAAAGGTTTTTCGGTTAATATCGTATGGACCTAGGCCTAGGTCATGACCATATGTTTTCCTTTTTGTAAAATTAAGAATTGTTCGAATTTGATTTTTACGTATGGGGATACGACATCTGTTTATACATTCGTTTTTTTCTTTCTTTCTTTATATTCCTTTGATTAAATATTTTTCTGTTATTTTGTTATGCATGATTTTATCTTTTGTTGGAAATTATCTTAATATATCCTTTTGTTATTTTTGAATGTCTTAGATACTCTTTTAGATGTTTCTGTCTGCTGTATGCAATAATCGGAGGTTTTATAAAAAGTATTTTTGCTTTTCTGTTTTGTTTCATATAGCGCTGTCGATTCCTTTAAATACCAGATTAAATCTTGTTGCAAAAACGAGTGGTGGAGCCTTTTATTTATTTTTATAATTAGATTTAAACAAATGTGTTTTTTCTTTTTCTCTTGTTTTTGTTATAATATTGTCGAGCTCATTTTTGCAATGTTCTCTTTTAAGAAGTTTAGACTTAAATATTTGATCTTCTTTATAGAAGTCTTTTCAGTTGTTGCAAGACCTAGTAAGGCGAATAATTTCTCAAGTTATGAAGCCTGTGAATACTGACGTAGGGTGGGCTGATGTTCGTTCAAGATATTGAAAATTATCAGTTGGTTTTCTATATATTTTAATGTCTAAAATTATATTTTTGTTTTCAAATCTTTCACATTTGAAGATAGTTATGTAAAAAAACTTGATAATTACACCATCCAACTCATTTTTGGAGGACAGAAGAAAGGCGCGTAGCTACATTTACGTCAAAACGCCCGGATGTGCACATCAATTTTGGAGGGAAATATTTTGATCCATATAAATTGAAGGAATTGTTTAAAGCACACGAGCAATTGTAATGCTTTCTTTGGTGACTCGTAAATGAAGATACAAGTGACGAAATTTACTTTTTAATCAAATGGTATCATATTATATATTTGTTCATTTTCTGTCAAACTTTGAATCTACTGTGAATATTCTACTCAGATTACTATTGCTTAAAGCAATTTAGTATCTGCTGGGATACAATATGTGTGGCTTGCATTTTTATCTTACACCTGACCATCTATGAAAATTAATTATTGCATGCGTCCATTAACGACATTTTCCCGTAAAAAGGTGTGAAAATTATACGAAGTTAAAACAATTAATAGAACTTGCTTTTTAAACTATTTTTTATAAAGTTTTGATTTTTTTTGTCGATTGATTGGTTTACCCAACATCTCCTTTTTAAACATATTCTAAAGTAACTGATTTGGACATTTTTCTCTAAAACAAAGGACCATTAGATTCCAAATCAACACAATGAAATCAACATGAAAAAAACCCAAATCAAACTTTAAAATAGAGGCGAAAAATACCAATATTCAAACTCACCAGTTGAAAAAAAACTGACAATGCCATTTCAAAAGACGAAAAATGACGAAAAGACAAACAACAGTACATAAAAGACAACATAGAAAACTAAAGACTAAGCGATACAAACCCCGCCTTAAATCGGGGCTGATCTCAGGTGCTCCAGAAGGGTACGCATATCCTGTTTCACATGTGTCGTATTGCAAACGTATGTAAAAACTCGGTGATAAGTCCATTTCGGTAGGTCAAAACCAAAGAAAAGAGGACGGAATTGTGGTTACAACAATGAACCATGCCCGTTGTCGTCTGTGAGACAGTCAACCAACTTAAAGTTTTCGAAGGAATGCTTTCAACTTCACCACTTGGAACTCTTAGTTTGACAGCTTCCTTGTAAGTAGCAACCTCATTCATGGAAGTCATAATGGGAAATGCACGTTCTGAAATATCGTATCAACTGGAAGATATATATTCTATATGCAGATTCTACTGAACTATTGCTACATAGAAATAGAAAGTTCACAACTGGTAAGCTGAAATCATCTCTTTTGTAGTAAAGATTTGTTCTCAACCAACCAAGTAAGTTGTTATTGACAGAAATGGTATCATTTTCACGATAACGCGTGAGCTTCCGGTGTTTTCGCCCCCTACATGGAGGTCCTCTGCCCTGGAGCTACTAAGGGCCTTAGGACCCCTCGCCGAGGTTCGGGCATACAATTATAAAAGGCCTTGCTACGCCACTGGGAATTTGATATTTGAAATGTACACATTATGACTTTTAGTATCCCCATACGTAAAAATCAGATTCGAACAATTCTTAATATTACAAAAAGGAAAACATATGGCCAGGATATCTCATGAGGATAGGCCTAGGTCATTACGAGCTTAACAGAAAAACCTTTTATATAATCAGGAACATATAATCAGCTCTGTGATTCTTTTCCTATAATATACACACTATTTAATGTATAAGTACGTATGAATTTCTTTAAAAGTACACAAATAAATGCTGAAAAAAGTATTCCATGACAAAAAAATTATTATCATACATTGAGCAAATCAATTCTAGACAACTCTAGATACCTTTCATAGAAAATAGACTTTATTACGAAGGATAATAATGAGATATACTGGATTGGTCCTAGACCCGACTTATTTTAATATAGTATTCTCATAAGTAAAACATCAAATTCGAACTATTCTTAATATTTCTTAAAATTATTATCATATATTGAGTAAAACAATTCTAGATAATTCGAGATACATGTACATAGAAAATGGAATTTATTATAAAGGATTATAATAAGATATATTGGATTGGTTCTTGATCCGACTGATTTTAATATATAATTTTGAAAAGAAATAATCAGTCCCTTGTTTTACTGAAGATGAAAAAAATCATGCTTCAACAGTGCAGAAAATAAATAATCTGTCCTTATAGTTTACAATAATAAAAAACCCATCCAAAACAAATTCTCCTTGCCCCCACCAGAATATCAAATGGTCGTCCCATTATCATATAGATTTAATTATAAAAATGTTTACGATTTTCTCAGTGCACATGACTAAATAAAAGTAACAAAAGTTTACCGATGTTTTAAATCTCAGAAATTGATTAAGAAGACAAATGAAGGTAAGTCGACAAGCTAAGCGTCTATTGAAATGCATGGCTATCCCTAAAGTCAAAAATCAAATCAACACTCAGTCAGACATGCACAATAAGCAAACGTACAGGTAAGACGACTATTCTGGTATCAGTCGATCTTCCTCAAAACTCTGTTGGATTAGTTTTTGTGAAAGGGGGTGACTTTACTATCATTGGCCATGTCATATCTCGCACATAGGGTTACGATCTCTTAATCTTACATTATCAACACAAAAGGTGTCACTTATGTAGCAGGATTGGTGGGGTTGGTGTTGTTGGTTCTTATGATGTGTTTCATAGACTTGTTTTTTTTTTCGTGGTTTTTTACTTTTTTCTTTCCAGCTTTTGTCAGTTTGACCTGAATTTTTGTTTTTGTTTTAAACCCTTTTGAAACCTCTGTCTATCTTTCCTAATGAGCTATAGTTGAATCGCTTGTTTTCCCAAAAAGTGTGTTATATAGCATTTTCATATGGCATTCTTCAAACGATTTGTGATCACACCCCTGGTAAAATATGTCAGTGGATCGTTAGCGTCATGGATTGTTTCAATCCATATATTCAAGCCCCCATGAATAAATTCCTTATTGTTTTATAACACATTCTTAAATAATGAATAATGAACAAGAAGGGTTCTTGTAATATTTGTTTTTTATGTTCAATTTTGATTGCATACTTGAATGTTGTAACGTAAAGAGTCATTTATGACGAAGTGGCGAAATTTGTTTATATGCAGTTATCACTGCCATATCATTTCTAGGGTTGTGAAATTTTCTTTTCGAAGGTCTTTTTTTTTGTCGACTAAAACTACTTTATTCAACAATTGATAACAAGTGTCTGCCACGATGAAACTATGGACGCAACCAATTGAGTATCACGCCATCCAACACACTGTCTGCTATTTCATAAAAGAATGAAATAAATTGTATACATTCAAATAAAATTAGAATGACAACAACAAACATATTTCATGTAAACAAAAGAAAATATTATGCAGTCAAATCTAAAAAAAAAAAAAAGAAAAAAGAAAGCAGACAAACAATTATTCAAAATAACTGCAAAAAGATACATATCAAAATAAATAATTGCTAGGGAGACATTTACTTCCCTATGGTAATAATACACAAAAAACAACAAATATTTCCTAAATACGGTTCTACACTGATTGACCTTGGACGTCATAAAGGATTCTATAATCGTTTTGAATTCTTTCTTTCTTGATTCAAACAAAACAAATATAAAACGAAAATGTAAACGGAGGCATTTCGATGATTGTTTTCTTATGAAAAGCAATAAATCTTCCTCCAATGCGGGAGACACATTAAGGTTGCACATTTTTAAAGTTTTATATTAAGTTTACGATAACAAATCATTTCCTTGCTTAACATGTTCTTTTCGAATTGTTTGTTCAATCGTGAATTCATTGAGTTTCTTTTTTAGAACATAAGATCAAACAGAAAAAAAGACTACTTTTGATGATTTAGTTAGTATAAATCTTTAATTTGTATCAAGCTCAAGGATCTAGCAAGATCACGAGAAACGTTTAACGGCAAACGTTAAAGGATACACTGTTAATGTAATGAGAATGCTAAACCTGCATTCTTCCAGACCGATCATTATTATATGTTAAGGTGTTAATTCTCAAGGGAAAATAGTATAAGAACAATAACCAAACTCCAAGTTTATCTCAAAAAGAGGAAGTCAGTAACAGTGAAAATACAAACGTTGAACTTTATCAACCAACGGAACGAAAGGTAACAGTCTGCAAGAAGACAGATACCATACATGACGCATTATACTGAACTAATATCCGACTATGTTTTGCTCTTATTCTTTAACCTGAACGTAGAAGCACAATAATCAATTTTAAAGAATTTGTTTAATGTGAGTTAAAACCCACGACCTCCCGTTCTATTGGCTTACAGTAAACCACAATGACACCGCGCTAGTCAAGTTTCTTTACTCATCTAATTCATTTCAGTAACATGTATCGGACACCACAATGACACTGCGCTAGTCAAGTTTCTTTACTCATCTAATTCATTTCAGTAACATATATCGGACATTTGTGTCTTTATGTAATTTGATTAATATACAGATCCTGTGTCCAAGCTTTGTTTTCAAGGATTTGAAAACGCACCTTCCTACTCTC